TTGTATATTAAAGATAATGCCACTTAGGTTTTTTTATGATTTAACAACAGTTTCTTTTTCGAAGTCGTATTATATATTTAAGATACAAAGGTCTTATTTTTTTCAATTTGATACAATTTTTTCGAGGTAAAAACGTTAAAAAATATACTTGGCGGTTTTTTTTACATTTTCAATGTCTTTTTTCCACCGATTTCACTCATTTTTGCTAAATTTTTATTTTATTAATAATAAAATGATTTTGCGTGATCGTGTTATACATTAAAGATAATACCATATGAGTTTTTTTAAATTTAATACAACAGATTTTTTCGAGATATAATATTTATAAAATGATTTTAATGATTGTATTATACATTGAATACCAATTTGGTTTTTTTGATCAATTATAATAAAATATAGCGTCTACAAAACCATTTTATCCTTATTGTTTAAATATCAAGATAAACAAAACTACTTTAGAAAAATTATTTTTCAGTCATAATTAGTGTTACATTCCTAAAAACCTATTATTCACACAAATACAAAATATTTATTTTATTTTGTCTTTTCTACTTTACATTTTAATATTTATTTCTTATTTATTTTATTACATTTTATTTTTGTTTCATTGCATTTTATTTATTATTTTATTTGTTTCATTCTTTATTTGTTTATTTATTTGATTTTATTTATTTTACTTATATCATTCCTTATTTTTTTGTTTAATTCATTTTATGTTCTATTTCATTTTATTTTTTATTTAAGTTATATACAGGGTGGTTCATTTTAATCCATCCAGTCAAATATCTTGAAAAATAAGCACACTAGGAAAAAATGTTTCAGACAAAAGTTTTCGAGGGGGACGTAAGATGATAACATTGGTTTGACCCTGAGTGGCGTCGTCAAGGTCAGGACAAGGTCACTTTGAATTTTTTAAATGGAACCCCCAATTTTTCATTATATGTTCTTATAGCACGCCTCGAGAACTTTCCAAAACACATAAATAAAATATTTTTTTATGAAATAAATCTTGAGTTATGAAGCTTGAAAGTTGGAGTACTGTCGGCATTAGCATCATCCAAGGTATCCAAATACTAGCTAAAACCTTTTGAATGTTGTTCAGGACCATGACATTGATAAAGATCAACGACCTTGGCCATCTTTAGCTAGTGTTTGGACACCTTGGATGATGCTAATGCCAACAGTACTCCAACTTTCAAACTTCATAACTCAAGATTTAATAAAAAAATATTTACACTCGATGTTTATTTTTTGCTCCTGAACGGTTGAATATAACCAGGTTTGCGGTTCCGCTAGTGTGATCCACAACGTGGTGTTTGATAATACGCGTCTCCTTTCGCAGTTTTGAAGCTGTCCCAGTAGGTTAACGAAAATTTGCACCTCGCACGGTGCGTCCGCCCTAGTATGATAGACGGGTAAAGTTCGCTCGCAAGTATAAGTGGCATCCTCTCGAATGCAATTGGCTAATTCCTTCTCGCTCGGTAGCATATAATGATGATTATCTTTGTCGCCATTAAGGGCTGATTTACTTTTAAGAATGCAAATTTATTATCGCGTTCCACTGAGGGAAAAGGAATTGCCTTAACAATTTTGTATGACGGGTATGCTATCACGGGAAATCTAAGTATCGTGTAAATGTTCGGTGCCGCGTAGTACGCGTTTATTTTAATATAATTCTGTATCGTCTGCCAATTTTCCAACTGTATTCTAAAAGGAAAGTGCAGTCCCTTGGTTAACTGTGCCGCGGCTTCTCTCAATTCCGCGACGATAGTCTCTAGCGGCAGTAATCGTGTTATTATCAGTCCGTTGTTCGCGTATGTTATATAGTCAATTATATTTTCTACGTCTTTGGTCAAGTCCGCGATTATCGTCGTCAGGACGAATAACTGTTCGTCCATGTCTTCGCGTTGCGTAAATTTCGCTAATTGCCACTCCATTCGGCGGGTTACGTTTAATATTAGATTTTCGTTATAATCTACGGCTTGCTCTACATCGGTTAAATGTCCTAACGTAGCGTTTAATATTTTTAATTGATTTTTTACGGCGTGCTGTAACGTCTGTTGGTTATTCCGACTTAGCGTTAGCTGTTCGTCTATTAGTTTTGCGTCATCCGCATCCATTATGCCGAATAACGTTTTTCCGACGGTGCCTATGGCGTCTATTAATCCGCGTTTGTTATTGGTTGGTTTATACAATCCGTCAAGGTGATTTATTAGTATTGTCAGCATGTCATTGTCTTTTTCCATTATTCGCAAAATATTTGTACACATTTGTTGTACGTTCGTCGCGAGTACGCTTCGGCATCGGTCTTCGGTCCTGTGTAAGTGATTTTGAATCTGCCGAAACCTGACACCTATCGCGGCGATGTCTAAACGTATCGCGAGTCTCCACGCGGACTCAGCTTGATTAAGTTGTCCGATTTCTTCGTAATATATGCCGGGTGTGTGTGTGAAACTTTCCCAGCGGTAAGAGTGTATTGGTGCCGGTGTCATCTTTATCGGGCACCAGGTCGTCAGCAACCTGCAAGGTAAGGATGCTTATTCTTTGAATCCTTATCAATTTTTTGTTCCCTGGTCGCTTCTTTCTGTCGCGAACGACCAGTCTGCTCCAGGCCTTTAGTGAGCTCGCTTTATTTTGTGCTTAATAAATTCGATTAATCATGAGGTGCTTGCGGTGCAACCGGTTTTTTGCGTCCCAGTACGTGCGATAGTTGCCTGCGCACGTACTGGTT